CATAACAAGAAAAAGATATTGTAAAGTTACAAAGATTAATCAAATATGCAATGATAAAAAAAGACCAAAAAATAATAGAAGAAGAAAGAGTAAGACAAATGAACAATTAAAAGCACTAGACAACAAGATAGATGCAAAACTGCCAAAATTACAAAGACATTAGTCACATGCCTGGATAGAAGATATAAAAGAATAGCAAAAGCTCCTACAGAAAAAAAAGAAAAAAGACTAAGAACAAGTACAAAAAAGACAAATAGAAGAGAATATAGACAAAAGATATGAAATGATTAAAACAGACCAAGAAAAATGCTTGCCAGTCTTTTAAATAAACTGTATAAAAAGATAATACTTGATAGGCTTATCAAGCAAGAAGAAGAGGAAACATATCTAATAACAAAGTTAGAAGAGATAAAGACAAATATAGCAGAACATTATAGAATGCAATTTAGAAAAAAAACTACCAAACTAGAAGCAATAACAGAAAAGTAGAAAGAGATATATGAACCAAGAGAAAGCATCAAAGAGAAATGATATATAGAAGTTAAAAGAAAAATTAAGAAAAAAGAATGAGAAGAAGTACTGAGTGAGTTAAAGACAGGAACAGCTCTAGGTATCTCAGGTATAAGCTATATATTAATTAAGAAACCAAAAACAAAAACACAAGAAGTTTTTAGAAGCTTTGCAAACTTATACTTAAAAATAGAAGAAATTCCAACAAAGTAGAAGATAGCACAAGTTTACTCTATACCAAAAGATGTAGAATAGGGATATAGCTTAAACAACATCTGCCTGATAGCATTAATTAAAACATTCAAAAAAGTTATAACAAAAGTGGTAACAAAAAGGCTTATCAAAGTATTTATAGAAAAAGAAATACTTAGAGAGCCAAACTTTGCAGGCCTTTCAGGAAACTCAATAGAGCAACCAGTACAGATTTTAAACATGATAATAGAGAAAGCAAAAGAAAAAGATAAAGAAATATGGATACTGCTGCAAAACATAAAAAAAACATTTAACTCAGTTCCTCTCAAAAGCCTTAAACCAGCATTGCAAAGAGTCAAAATATTCAAGAGAACAATTAAATTTATACTAAATCTTTTTCACAAGAGACAATTAAGAATAATTACAGCTTATGGCCTAACAGAAGAACTAACAACAGGAGATGAAATAGACTAAGGTGAAGTAATTTTACTATTAATATAGCATCTCTTCTATGACCTATTATTAGAAAGAATTCAAAAAGAAAAAAGTGTAGAGTATATAGTCAAGTAACAGTTGCAAAAAGATATACAATGCAACAATATTACAAGATATTGTTAAGCTGCAATTGCATATGCAAATAATACAACATGAATTGCAAGCAGTAAAAGGCAATTATTAGAAATCTTAGAAATAGTAAAAGAGTTTTTTGAAATGAATGATATAAAGATAAATAGATTAAAGTTAAAATTAATAATAATAAACATGAAAGTCTGAAAAGAAGAAAGAGCAGTAATATATGGAAAAGCAAGATAATAGAAGAACCAAGACATAAAATAGTTCATTCATTGGAAATATGGTTAAATAACAGAATGCAAGAAATATAAGTAAAGAGGAAGGCAAAAGAAATAGTAAGTTAAACTATAAAAGATCTAAAGTACAAAAAAATAACAATGAGTCAGATTGCATATATAAACAATATAGTAATAATACCTAAACTAAGTTATATATTGCAGCTAGCAATGTTGTCGAACAGAAGCCTAAATGAAATACATCAACCAATAATAAGTCTGACAAAACAAAAGAGCAGCTTGCAAAGAATAGTAGAAAACTGCATAATAGAATACAAAGATCTTGGCAGCTATAGAACATTGAGACAAGAGTTAATTATGAAGCAAATAAGTGGCCTCTTGGCAAGACTAAACAGACAAGACAGTTTCAGACAGCAAATAAGGCTAAGAATAATACAAGGCTGTTAAAGAGCAGATTTAATAGAAGATATATAGAAGACAAAGAAGTAGACAAAAATTAAAACATATTTAAAAAATAACTTAGCATATCTTACAATACTTAAAGCAAAGAAACTAAAAATAAACATTAAAACAGAAAGTAAACTATAGATAATGTTTGGTTATGGTACTAAAATACAAGAACTAGTAGATATACAATTGTGGAAAAAATAAGCAATTAAAGTAAACAAAGCTGGTTTAATATATCTAAACCAACTATTTAATATAAAGAAAGAAAAACTAATCATATGACAGCAACTAAAAGGCTATCAAGGCCAATTAAATAAAGAAAAAAAAGCAGAATAGTTCAAAGTAGTTGAATCAAAAGTGCTCAGCAATCTAGTGAGCAGAGTAGTACAAAGATATTTCAGAATAAGTGAACAAAATATTCAGACAATGCAAGTCAAATAGGGCATATATCAAAAAATAGAAGAAGAAAAGAGTAGATAGTATATAGCACATAAGACTACAGACAGCTTGGAAAGATGGTCAAAAAGAAAAAAAAAAAGCACTAATCGAGTACTGACAAATAAAGTGCAAAAAGAACAAAATAGCAATTGAAATCAACAGATGTGAAGAGTATATAAGTAAAGAAGAACAAATAGAAAACAGTTGCCAGCAATAGATAAGATTAAATAAAAACATTTATGTAATTCCAGATAGATTAATAAGTAAGAGTAGCAATCAAATTAAGATAGCAGTAGACCAAATAATAGACAAGACAGAAATAAATAGATCAAAAATAAGTGAAACCAAATTAAAGGGTTTTACAATAATAGAAGAACTAGAGATAGAAATTATTATACAACAAAAACTGAATGAAAATATTAGTCAAAAAAATAAAAATTTTAAAAAAAACATTATAAGAAACAAGAATAAATATATAATATATACTGATAGTGCAGTTAATTAGAAAGATAGTAAAGAACCATCACTAAAAAAATATGAATATTAGATGAGTTCAAACAAACAAAACACAAGAATGGCCAGAAGAAGAGTTAGCATTTGAACTAGAAGGATGGCAAATGTTGACAACAGCAGAGTTGGTAGCAATTTGGGCAGTAATTTTAACAATATCTAAGGAGAAGCAAATAGAGTTATATACAGATAGTAATGCTGCAATAAGAAACATTAGTAGAAGCCTAGAACAAGCAGACAGAAACAAGATTATTAAGAAAAAGAATGCAATATGGTTAATAAAGATTAAAGATTTTGTCATGACAAAAAACATTCAGATAGATTTAGTTAAAGTTAAATGTCATAGTAAAGACAAATAGAACAATAAAGCAGATAGTTTAACAAAAAAAGAAACAATAAGTAGGAAAATATTATAGACTAAAAAAGTCAGTTGTAAAGAGATAGAGTACTGTCTAGAGTGGAAAAACAGATGAACTAACATATTAGCAAGACTGCTTTGCAAGTTAGTAATGAATGCAAGACTAGAAGTGAAGTGAAAAGAAACAAAAGCAGTTAAAGATTTAAAGCCAGAAGCAGAAATTACAATTTATAATTAGACTTAGTTTTGGAAAAGGCTTAAGATAACTAAGAAAATATATTGCACAACAAGAAGAAGCAGTATTAGAAGAAGTGTATTTATCAAGTGCATAATAGATAAACTTTCAATCTTAAAAAAATTCAACAGAAGAAGTCCAGATATATATACAACTGTAAAATGCCAAGTATGCCAAAATAAAGTAAAAGAGACATAAGCACACCTGGCAGTATGCAAAAGGCAAAGAAAACTCTAGAAGAAAATCCAAAAAGTGACCATTGCAATAGCATAAAAGAAATAAAAAGAAGAAGAAAAGATTCAGATTTTTCTATACATTTTATATATAGTGCTCTTTGAAAAAACAGAGACAGAGAAAGTCAAAATAAGAGAAGTACTAATGAAAAACCTAATTTCAAAAGAAACACAAAACAAACTAGCAGAGCTATTAAACATAAGATTAAGACAGCAGTTTGCAAATACAGTAGCAATAATGGCCTAAGACACATTTTATGAACAAGTATAGAGAATATGTTGTGAGAAAATTATTAAATGAGAGAAAAAAGTTGAAATAACAAAAAAAGTAAAAGGAAAAAAGGTAGAAGTTCGAAGAAACCAGAAAAATAAAAAAAGACAAATCAGAAAAAAATAGAAAAAAAAATAAAAAATAAGAGAAAAAGAAAAATGAGTTAAGAAAGAAGTAACAAAAACAATTTTAAAGCTTGTCATAGAAGGAAGAAGACCCTTTCATTATAGACTTTAAGTAGTTAAACAAGTAGCTTACTTTTATTTAAAGTAATGCAACAGATTGCACTTAGGTATTATTAAGATGGCTGAGTAATATTAGACTTAGATATTAGAAATATGTATATAGTTACAAATATAATTTCAAAAACTTAATAAAGTACTAGTATAACTGCTTAAAAATAAAATAAAAAAATAATACCTATATTGAAGATTAGTTAGTTAGAATTCAGTTTTATATTTTTAGACTAATTTAGAAAATTTTAATTCAATACTAGTATATAAAAACTTTCAAAAAACCTTAATTTAATTTTGATATATAAGAACTTTAAATCCAAGATTCCTATTATTATTATTGTTATCATTATTAGTATAAAATTAGTAAGACTACTATTTTAATAATTTTAGTAAACTTTTATCAATACTAAGTAATACCATCTTTTTAATAATTTTAGAAGCAAGCTCTTATTATCTTTTTTTCAATATATTAGTAATGAATACTATATTCTGCTACTATCATTTTGCTAAATAGTTAGAAGTTACAAAGCAATTTTTAATTTCAAAAAATAGATATATTTTAGCTAGAAAAAAAAAACAAGAACTAAAAAGTTAAATATAGATAATTTATCAGAACTTATAAATTATGAAGATACTCTTATAGCAAGTATAAGTTCAAATACAAATAATATAAATAAAAATAACTTAGATTGTATAGTCATATTAAAAATTCGTCAGCAGAAAAAAAGACTATATACTGGTAAAACTATATACTGATAAAGAACTATATACTAATAAAAGGCTATATACTGATAAAAGACAATATACTAGTGAAGGACTATATACTGATAAAGAAGCTAATAATTATAAAGAAGCTGTTGATTATGAAGAAGTTGATGATTATAAAGAAGTTAGTAATTATGAAGAAGTTGGTAATTATGTATTAGAATTAAGCTCAGAAGAAGAAGTAATGCTTACTGGTTAAATACTCAGAACTATCAATTAATTAATATATAAGATATTCAAGCAAAAAAAAAAGAAAAAGAGAAAAGTTACAGTAATGGCTACAGTTTTATGTTCTTAATTATAAAGACAACCTCCTAATCCTTTTTGTAACTGTAAATTAAAAGCAGTATTAGAAACAAAGAACACATTTGATTTAAAGTACTTCTAAAAACAAAAAAAATATATGAATTTCTGAACATCAAGATGAAACTAATTTATCTTATTTGATTAGTCTTGATAATAAACAGGTTTTACTTGAGTGTTGAAAAGCTAACATACTAGATGCATCTACTGATCAATTATGTGATATTATTACATGCAAGAAAGTAATTAAGACTGGTAGATTCTTACTTTATAGTTTTGCTTAAAAATGGTTTAAATAAGTATATATTGATAATATCTAACATAATATGTATAATATTGAACTAATAAGTAAAAAACTCTGTAATACAAAAGTAAAGACTGGTGAGTCAACAATAACACTATAGAGACATCTAAAAAATGTACATGGATATTCAGAAAATGAAGGACAACAAGTAGCTTTTTTTAGTTAAAATTATTAAAATTTTATTATATAAATCTAACTTTTGTTTTAAGTTAAACAAAAAGCAGACAACTATTAAAAAGGCATTTAAAATTTCTTTTTCAAAACTGCATAATACAACTGAACAAGCTATTTATAACAAAGCCATTACTGAGGTTATTGTCATACAAAACTTTTTATTATCTTTTACAGAAAAAAAATATTTAAACAGTTTGCAAAAATTATGGATTCATAATAGATTGTACCAAGTTAAGAAAAAGTTAAGAGTCTAATTGATAAAGAATTTAATCAAATTAGTTCTAACCTGAGATATAATTTATACAAAGCTAAAACTGTATTATTAACTATGAATTTGTAGATAGCATATTCACACAAAGGTTACTTGGATGTTACTACAGCATGGATCAATGAGAATTTTAAGCTAAATAAAGCTGTTTTGGCAGTTACTTTTTTTTTGTACTTTTATACAAGCAATGCATCATAAAATATATTAAGGACATTCTTGATCATTAGAGTATAAAAAACAAAGTTTTATTAATTATGTCAGATAGCAGAGCAAATATAAAGTTAATATGCAATAAACTTGATGTAAAATAGGTTTTATATTTTGCTTATATATTGAATTTGATTGTACAAAAAGGGCTTTTGCTTGCTAAGCATCTAATTACTTGAATAAACTGTCTGATTAAATTTTTTGTTTCATCTAAACAAAGTAAGCATCTTAATGCAATACAAGTATCAGTTCAAAAATAAAATTTGAGTTAAGAAAAAGCAACTAAGGTAACTTAAAAGTAAATACAAAAAATCTCTACAAGTGTATACTCTATAAGTGCATGTTTTATATAAACTCTTTAAATGCATAACACAGTTTGGCCCTAACTTATAAGTATACTATATATTTGACTTTATAAATATACATACTTTTTAAGTGCATAGTTTGCTTTTTTTTATTAGAGTTACAAGATGGATGCATTTAAAAAAGTTTTACTTTATATATAAGTAGCCTAATTAATTAAATTAAAAGAAGTATTAAGATTTAGAAGTTTTTATATATATATTTTTAAAATTTTTAAATAGTGCAAGCTAATTATGCCAATATAATTCTTTGTTTAACATAACTATCTTTTTATTTTTTTAAAATTTTTAATAAAAAAAACAGCATTATATTAACTAATTAAATTAAAATATTAGCATATTTTTTTTTTTTATAGTCAATTCTCAAATTTGAATCTGGATTGAAAAAATTTTAAATAGAGTTGATATTGATTACTAGCTGCAAAGATGATTATTACTGATTATAATAAATAATTGATAGTAATTACTGATCAATATACATTTGATTAAAAAATAATTGATTTAATTCAGTTTAATACTAATCAAAGCAATTCTAATTGATTTTAATTGATTTAATTAGCAACTTTATTATCAATCAATTCTAATCTGCATTACTAGTAATTAACAAAAGTGCTGCTTATTAATTAACATTTCTATCTGCCAAATAATTGTTAACCAATTTAAAAATTTTCTGATGATAATTTGAACTAAACTCTGTTAAACCTAATACAAAGCTTCAGAATATTTGTAAATTATATTATAAACTTTGAATTAACAACATAGCAACTCTTTAAAAACTATTTGTTATTTTTATATATAAGAACAAACTGTTTGGAATAGAGTGTTGACTGTATTTTTAGAAAATAGAATTATTCTTTTTTTATATTGTTTTATGCTTTCTTATATGAAATATTTTGTATTATATTAAACAGTGAATCAACTTAAAGTAGTCTTATTTTTGTTAGGTTTAGTTAAATTCACTAGTGACTATTTTGTTAACAATTTACTTCTAATCAACACTGTTATTAAGTAAGCCCAATCATATATTGTAAATAATTTCTATTTTACTGTTTTGCAATATGATTTGGTAAGCCAAATAGTTTCTGTTATTCGAAGATATAAATTTTATAAATATGTAGCATTTATAAATAAACTATAAAATTAAAAACAAAATTAATTTTTTTACTAAATTAGACCAAGTTTGGGCTGTAGGCAGATAGTTGTTAGTGAAATTTATTTATACTAGTTTATGGATCTTGTTTAAATATTAGGCTGCTTATACTCTATTTGTATTATAATTTTATATTAATAATATTAGTTTTATATACAGAATAAGAAAAATACTATCTTTTTACAAGTACAAAGTGACATCAAAACTTATTAAAACTTCATCTATAATGTATGAGTTCAAATACTTAAGCTTAAACCTTACATTAAGATACTTACAAGTTTACTAACTGTTTAGCCAGAAAGAGATGCAATTAAAAATAAAAAATGTCTAAAATCAATTATAATTACAGAGAATAAATAGACTGTAGTTTCTAATATTATTAAAGTTTTAAAACTATTTAGCAATATAACAAATTATAGTTAATAATAAGTATTATTTAACTAACTATAAGTTTTCTTTATAATGCTTTACTAAAAAAATTTTTAGATAAAGATGCTATAGATAAAATAGATCTTAACATGACAGATGATATTAATGTGTTTGATAAAGAATCAGAAAATAAAGAATTAAAACAAATAAAATCTTTTTAATACAACTAATAATTTAGTTAAATGCATTAAAAAAATAATGACTAAATTATTTACAAAATACTATAAGATAAAATTTTAATATATTTACTAGTGCTTTATATAGTATCTTGGCCCTTTTTAAAATGTTAAGATAAATTAAATAATACTCTAGGTATTGTGTAAAAGGGTACTAAATGAAAGAGGTACTTTAAAAAGAGTATTAATTATAAGTTGTATAACAACATTGATTTAGATTATAAAACATAATAAATTACTTCTTTAGTACTGAGATATATTTCAAAAATTTTAGAATTTACAATTAAATAGTACTCAATTTTACTTAAAAAGAATACTTTTTTAGAAAGATACTATATGTAGCACTGTGTGGTATTGTTTATTAAATTATTTAAATTAAATATATAATATATAATTAGTTTTCTGATAATAGAATATTATTTACTGCAATAGCAATTGATTCAAAATGCAAAAACTTTGAATTTGAAGATACTACATTAAAGTATTAAGATTACCTTAGATTAAAATATAATCAAATTATAAGTGATAAAAGTTTTGGGTCATTATTAAATAAAATAGCACTTGATCTATCTGGATTATTCATATTAACAGTTTTTCAGTAGTTTAACAAAAGGTAATACACAAAAATGAAGTTAATTAATATCTTATGATAGAAACAATTGGATCTTTAAAAAATTCTTTACAGTGATAGGCAGATTACAAAAATTTACATTCAAAATTAGCAAGTTTTACTTAAAAGTTTTTCATAATTCTGTCAATCTCAGTATCTTGTGAACATCTTTTTTCTCAATATAAAAATGTAATAACTAAAAAAAGAACTTGATTAGCATCATAAATATTTAGCAAATTGGTTTTTTGCTATGCAAATTAAGAACAATATAATATAATATTTTCAAAATTTAAAAATTAGTCTTTATTTATACATATATATACATACTGGTAAAAAGAAGTTTTTTTTTTACTAAAAGGTAGTTTATTAAAATATGATAAATAGCAATAATTAATAAAGAAATTAGAATAAAAAATTAACAAGAAATTAAAATACTAAACTAAACCAAATAATGCATATTTGCTAAAAGGTTTATTTTAGTATGAAAAATATAAAATATTAATAATCTCAGAACTAAACTGCACATCATGTACTGGATGTCACCTTAACTCAAACAGAATTAACCAAACATGCACAATCAATATTTCAGCAACTATTTGTACTAGCTTCCTAGGAAGAAAAATCTCTAAACTCAAATTCAATACTAATTACCTAGATCTTATCTATTCAACAGCAATTAAACATCCTTTACAGATTCCTCAAAACCATCCTACTATCAATATATCAAATTCAATTATCACAGAAATCTTTAAACCAAATAACTGTTCAAACAAACTTAAAGAAATTTTTCAAAACAATTTATCTTATAAGAAATTTATTTTTTATACAGATGGATCAGTAACTAACATTGAAACTGAAAAAACTCAATGAGCATTGGATGGGTTCAAATCAACAATAACAACCAAGTGCTTTATAAATTTTCAACTAAAATCTACCACTGGCTATCAGCTTATAAGGCAGAGCTCTTTTCTATCTTATCAGCAATCTTAACTGTACCTCACAATGCAACACTTCAAATTTATACTGATCCACAATTAGTTATCTTAAAGTTTTACAAACTCTCTACTCAACTCAACAATCCTAATAAACTTTTTGAATTTAATGCATGACCTTTATAGTATATTTTTCTTAATATTATTAAATCCTTTAACTTAAACATCAACTTTTACAAAGTTCAGGCTCATACAGACAATATTTTTAATAATATGGCTGATTT